AGTGCGACTCCAAGGTTCTATGACCTCCAGTGCGACTCCAAGGTTCTATGACCTCCAGTGCGACTCCAAGGTTCTATGACCTCCAGTGCGACTCCAAGGTTCTATGACCTCCAGTGCGACTCCAAGGTTGTATGACCTCCAGTGCGACTCCAAGGTTGTATGACCTCAAGTGCGACTCCAAGGTTCTATGACTTCCAGTGCGACTCCAAGGTTCTATGACTTCCAGTGCGACTCCAAGGTTCTATGACTTCCAGTGCGACTCCAAGGTTGTATGACTTCCAGTGCGACTCCAAGGTTGTATGACTTCCAGTGCGACTCCAAGGTTCTATGACCTCCAGTGCGACTCCAAGGTTCTATGACCTCCAGTGCGACTCCAAGGTTGTATGACCTCCAGTGCGACTCCAAGGTTGTATGACCTCCAGTGCGACTCCAAGGTTGTATGACCTCAAGTGCGACTCCAAGGTTCTATGACTTCCAGTGCGACTCCAAGGTTCTATGACTTCCAGTGCGACTCCAAGGTTCTATGACTTCCAGTGCGACTCCAAGGTTGTATGACTTCCAGTGCGACTCCAAGGTTGCATGACTTCCAGTGCGACTCCAAGGTTGTATGACCTCCAGTGCGACTCCAAGGTTGTATGACTTCCAGTGCGACTCTAAGGTTGTATGACCTCCAGTGCGACTCCAAGGTTGTATGACTTCCACTGCGACTCCAAGGTTGTATGACTTCCACTGCGACTCCAAGGTTGTATGACGTGCCACAAGGTTGCGACTCCAGTGCGACTCCAAGGTTGCATGACTTCCAGTGCGACTCCAAGGTTGCATGACTTCCAGTGCGACTCCAAGGTTGCATGACCTCCAGTGCGACTCCAAGGTTGCATGACTTCCAGTGCGACTCCAAGGTTGCATGACTTCCAGTGCGACTCCAAGGTTGTATGACTTCCAGTGCGACTCCAAGGTTGTATGACTTCCAGTGCGACTCCAATGGACTTGTACGACTCCAAGGTTGCATGACTCTCAGTGCGACTCCAAGGTTGTATGACCTCCAGTGCGACTCCAAGGTTGTATGACCTCCAGTGCGACTCCAAGGATGTATGACTCTCAGTACGACTCCAAGGTTGCATGACTCTCAGTGCGACTCCAAGGTTCTATGACTTCCAGTGCGACTCCAAGGTTGTATGACTTCCACTGCGACTCCAAGGTTGCATGACTCTCAGTGCGACTTCAAGGTTGTATGACCTCCAGTGCGACTCCAAGGGTTGTATGACCTCCAGTGCGACTCCAAGGTTGTATGACCTCCACTGCGACTCCAAGGTTGTATGACCTCCACTGCGACTTTCAAGTTGCATCAAAGTAGCCCAGGGACCTTTATAAAGTTGGTGCAACTTTAAGTTGCAATCGATCGAAACGGGTGCCACTGAGATCAATCGGCTTGTCATGTGACTTGATTTGTCCAAAGTCACATGACGAGTCGCCCAATTGTGGGCGGAGCCTAACAAGGCAAAACCAAGCTGTGAGGTGCAACGTGAGAAATATTCTGCCAGCGGCCAGGAGAATCCCGAACATCTGAGGAGACGGAAAACAAAAGCAAAGTTTTCCTTTAAAACACAAAAATGCTCAACATGGAAAACGTGACATTTAGGCGTCACAATGCCGGGTTCAGATCCGGAACGATTGCTCACTTCTATTTCCTGTCAGCCCCCTCCGCCCCGTTGCCCACGTTGTCCCACCCCCTCCGCCCACGTTGTCCCACCCCCTCCGCCCACGTTGTCTCCGTTCCTATGACTGACTGCCCATTGCTGCTCTGTAGGGATCATTGCTCGATGAATCGCATTGTTTGAAAATATCCAAAAACTCTACAAAATGTCTTCAATTCCTCCCAGAAAATAGCTGCGAGATTCCTGTACCTTCAGCTTTACAACCGCAGCGCGGGATCAGCTAAGGCGCTGCTGCCTCTGACTGTCAGGCTCAATGGTGATGTCACTACTGCACTGCTCACTGTTCTCCTTGCTGGAGAGGAAGCCGTACCTGAGGAGCTGCAGTGCCAGGATCTCCCTGCTTCTGCCTCATTCATTCTGTGGATTTCTCCGCTGTTCTTTCCTTACTATTCCCCTCATCAGGGTGCAGCAAATTGTGATCCTTTACCAAGACGGATGCCTCAGAGTCTTGCAGTATCACTGGCACATATATGGACTGGATTTTGTCCCGTTTTTTGTGATTTACACTGTGTGGACTTTATTGTTTCTGCACCTATGTGTACACGCTTGGATGTCTTACTATATTAGTGCTGCACTTTATACACACAGCTTAATTACTGTCTATGCTGGCCCAGCTCCTGCATCTTTCCCCCTCACCTCCATACATAATGTGGCTGCCGGGGAGATGCAAAGGGGAATACTACAGAGAGGCACTTGAGTGACAGCTCCAAGTCTTTTGGGGCTGAAACATCCCATCCAAGATGGCGGCACCCAGCAGCAGTCTGGAGCCCTTTGGATGGCTATGGTAGGGAGGCTTTTACAGGTCAATAATATCCCTCAGATACAATACACGCCCAGATCATATATAGGAAGATTTAGTTGAATTCTGGTGACAGGGTCCCTTTAAAGCCAGAGTGTAAGTATACCAGCCACGTCAAACGTCCGGAGACACGTCCGGGGACACGCCCGGGGACACGTCTGGGGACACACCCGGAGACACGTCCGGGGACACGCCTGGGGGAAGCCTCCACTTCTGCAGCTTCTCTGGCGTCTATAGTTGGCCAGAATGTCCATGGACTCACCTTGCATGGAGTCCAGCTCAGGACACGGAGGTGCGAGAGTCTCTGAAGGCAGAGAGTAAGTATACCAGCCATGCCAAACATCGGGACACGCCCGGGGACACTTGGGGACACACTTCGTCTGGGGACACGCCTGGGGGACAAGTGAAGCCTCCACTTCTGAAGCTTCTCTGGCGTCTATAGCTGGCCAAAATGTCCATGGACTCACCTTGCATGGAGTTTGGCTCAGGACACGGAGGTGCAGGAGTCTCCGAAGGTAGAACGTAAGTATACCAGCCATGCCAAACGTATGGGGACACGCCCAGGGACATGCTTGGGGACACACCTGGGGACACACTTGGATGAAGCCTCCACCCCTAAAGGCTTCTCTTGCGTCTATAGTTGGCCAGAATGTCCATGGACTCACCTGGCATGGAGTCCGGCTCAGGACACAAAGGTGCGGGAGTTTTAGAAGGCAGAGCGTAAGTATACCAGCCATTCCAAACGTCCGGGGACGCGCCCGGGGACACGTCTGGGGACATGCTTGGGGACACGCCTGGGGGAAGCCTCCACTTCTGAAGCTTTTCTGGCGTCTATAGTTGGCCAGAATGTCCACGGACTCACCTTGCATGGAGTCCGGCTCAGGACACGGAGGTGCGAGAGTCTCTGAAGGCAGAGAGTAAGTATACCAGCCATGCCAAACATCCGGGGACACGCCTGGGGACACACCCGGGGACACGTCCGTGGGGACACGCCTGGGGGGAGTCTCCACTTCTGAAGCTTCTCTGGCGTCTATAGCTGGCCAGAATGTCCATGGACTCACCTTGCATGGAGTTTGGCTCAGGACACGGAGGTGCAGGAGTCTCCGAAGGTAGAACGTAAGTATACCAGCCATGCCAAACTATGGGGACACGCCCAGGAACATGCTTGGGGACACACCTGGGGACACGCCTGGGGACACACTTGGATGAAGCCTCCACCCCTAAAGGCTTCTCTTGCGTCTATAGTTGGCCAGAATGTCCATGGACTCACCTGGCATGGAGTTTGGCTCAGGACACGGAGGTGTGGGAGTCTCCGAAGGCAGACAGTAAGTATACCAGCCATGCCAAACGTCCGGGGACACACCTGGGGACACGCCCGGGGACATGCTTGGGGACACGCTTGGATGAAGCCTCCACTTCTGAGGCTTCTCTGGCGCCTATAGTTGGTCAGAATGTCCATGGACTCACCTGGCATGGAGTCCGGCTCAGGACACAAAGGTGCGGGAGTTTTAGAAGGCAGAGCGTAAGTATACCAGCCATTCCAAACGTCCGGGGACGCGCCCGGGGACACGTCTGGGGACATGCTTGGGGACACGCCTGGGGGAAGCCTCCACTTCTGAAGCTTTTCTGGCGTCTATAGTTGGCCAGCATGTCCACGGACTCACCTGGCATGGAGTCCGGCTCAGGACACGGAGGTGCGAGAGTCTCTGAAGGCAGAGAGTAAGTATACCAGCCATGCCAAACATCCGGGGACACACCTGGGGACACGCCTGGGGACACACTTGGATGAAGCCTCCACTCTTAAAGGCTTCTCTGGCGTCTATAGCTGGCCAGAATGTCCATGGACTCACCTTGCATGGAGTTCGGCTCAGGACACGGAGGTGCAGGAGTCTCCGAAGGCAGAGCGTAAGTATATCAACCATGCCAAATGTCCGGGGACACACCTGGGGATACGCCCGGGGACACGCCCGGAGACACACCTGGGCACACCTCGGGGACATGCTTGAGGACACGCTGGGATGAAGCCTCCACAGGCTTCTCTGGCGCCTATAGTTGGGATGTCCACTCACCTGGCATGTCCGGCTCAGGACATGGAGGTGCGGGAGCTCTGAAGGAGCGTAAGTATACCAGCCACGCCAAACGTCCGGGGGACACATCTGAGCTTGGGGACACACCTGACATGCTTGGGGACACGCTTGGATGAAGCCTCCACCTCTGAGGCTTCTCTGGTGCCTATAGTTGGTCAGAATGTCCATGGACTCACCTGGCATGGAGTCCGGCTCAGGACATGGAGGTGCGGGAGTCTCTGAAGGCAGAGCGTAAGTATACCAGCCACGCCAAACGTCCGGGGGGACACATCTGGGGACATGCTTGGGGACACACCTGGGGACACGCCCGGGGACATGCTTGGGGACACGCTTGGATGAAGCCTCCACCTCTGAGGCTTCTCTGGTGCCTATAGTTGGTCAGAATGTCCATGGACTCACCTGGCATGGAGTCCGGCTCAGGACACGGAGGTGCGGGGGTCTCAGAAGGCAGAGCCGGTGATCTATTCTGTGATGGAAGATTAGCAGCCCCGGTGGTCTCAGGTAGAGGCGCGGTGGTCTCCACCCGATGTGACGGGATGTATCCTGTAGGCACGGGGCCCCGATCTGCACCATCGGCGGGCATTCCATTACCGCGCGGACATCTTCTGGACTTCCTGTTCGTGGCATTCTGAGGTGGCAGAGTCCGAGTCGGCCTCCATGATGAAGTCGTGTCCCTCTCCGCACCCCCACACCGCCCGGATGATGCCACAGTACTGGGCAGACAGGACCCCCTGCAGGCTGGGCACAGAGGGGCAGCCTCCGGCATGGCTGTGGGTCCAGCTCACCAGGCTGTGCAGACACTCGGGGCTGGAGGTGATCAGATCTGAAAATAACAGAAGCCGGGTCAGGCAAATGGGAAAGATTCACATTAACAAAAACAATTCGACTTCCTAAAAGAAAAAAGAAATTCGATGTGAATACAAGAGCTGAAAATGTCCGATATTCCATCTTACCAACCACTAGATGTGGCGGCTGCAGTCGTTTTCCTTTATTTTAGGCTTCTTTCACCTGGTGATCTGGCCAGTAACACACCTCCTGTATTAGAGCGCCTCCACTCTGGAGGAAGGGGCATGGGGGGGGGGGGGCACAGCAGACAAGACCATCATCAGTCTGGGGGAAGGGGATTTAGATACACTAACACATCGAAGCCGAACTCCAATTTTCTCATCAGTTACAGTAACAGTTTTGTTTGTTTTGGGATGAAGGTTTTACATCAATAAATAAATGCTGATCATCGTAGGCGCCCCTGCCAGTGGCAAATGGTTCATCCCATCCCTGTAAACTGATGCATTCCACTGGAGAGCTTGGGCTTTTGAAAAACAACAGACTTGCTGAAGAAAGAAAGGCTAAAAAAGAAAACGAAGGCAGCCGTCACATCTAAGATTTAATAAGTTGCAATAAGTTTGTTTTTTGGTTTAATACGGATTTAGAGGAAGCTGGAGAGTTCGGTCACATGACGGATTTGTGTCTCCGTTGGCCAATCATCCTCCCCAAGGTTTGAAGGATGAAAGTGGATGGAATTCTGCGCAGCTTTATAGATCCCTCGGTGAGCGTGCGCTGTGTGCGCAATTATTGGGCGACTATTAGTGTGCGCAATTATTTGGGCGACTATTAGTGTGCGCAATTATTGGGCGACTATTAGTGTGCGCAATTATTGGGCGACTATTAATGTGCGCAATTATTGGGCGACTATTAGTGTGCGCAATTATTGGGCGACTATTAGTGTGCGCAATTATTGGGCGACTATTAGTGTGCGCAATTATTGGGCGACTATTAGTGTGCGCAATTATTGGGCGACTATTAGTGTGCGCAATTATTGGGCGACCATTAGTGTGCGCAATTATTGGGCGACTATTAGTGTGCGCAATTATTGGGCGACCATTAGTGTGCGCAATTATTGGGCGACTATTAGTGTGCGCAATTATTGGGCGACTATTATTGTGCGCAATTTTGAACAGCTCCAGCGCTCTCGGTCAATAGAAAATGTTACCAAACCTCAAACTGGAATATATATGACAGTAAAAGGGAGCTTTTGGCTTTCTTAGAATATCTGTGTGCGCAATTATTGGGCGACTATTAGTGTGCGCAATTATTGGGCGACTATTAGTGTGCGCAATTATTGGGCGACTATTAGTGTGCGCAATTATTGGGCGACTATTAGTGTGCGCAATTATTGAACAGCTCCAGCGCTCTCGGTCAATAGAAAATGTTACCAAACCTCAAACTGGAATATATATGACAGTAAAAGGGAGCTTTTGGCTTTCTTAGAATATCTGTGTGCGCAATTATTGGGCAACTATTAGTGTGCAGGATTATTATTATGCAACTACATAGTTAGTCTGGCTGAAAAAAATACAAACGTCCATCCAGTTCAACCATAAAAAACAAAAACAAAAAAAGCCACAATCCTCCACCCACAGTGGATCCAGAGGAAGGCAGAAACCCAGCAAAGCACGATCCAATCTCCTCCTGCAGGGGAAATAATTCCTTCCTGACCCCCCGAGAGGCAATCGGATATTCCTGGGATCAATATTCGGATATTCCCGGGATCAACGTTCCCTATAAATGTTATATTCTGTATCCAGTCATAAGCCTTCCATTCTTGGGGTTTGTCAGTTTCTTGATTGGTTGACGATCAACTTTTAGTGCAGCAGCAACAACACAGCCTCCCAGACTGATCAGAGAGGTGTACTGTTTTTCCTTCACCGTAAATCTCCCATTAAGAAGGGCCCACAAGTTCTCCGTAGGGTTTGGGTCCGGTGAGGAAGGGGCCATGTCATCATTCTTTCATCTTTAGGGCCTTTACTGGCTAGGCACGCGGTGGAGGACTTCCATGCATGTGATGGGAGCGTTGTCCTGCATTAATATCGTGGTCTTCTGCAGACTTTTTCCTGTACCACCGCTTGAAGAAAAAGTGTCTTCTAAAAACTGGAAGGAGGTTTAGGAGTTGATTTTGAGTCCCGAAAAGGTCCAACTAGCTCATCTCTAATAATACCAGCCCATACCAATGCCCCACCTTGCTGGGGTCAAAGACAAGCTCTGTGCTCCTTACTGATCCATCTATCTGGTCCGTCAAGAGTCACTCATCCCATCAGTCCATAAATCCTTTGACAAATACATGACTATCTTCAGATATTTCTTGGCCCAGTCTTGACGTTTCTTGTCCAGTAGTGGTCAGGTTTCAGCCTCCCTCACCTTGGCCGTGTCTCTGAGCTCTGAACACCTCGTACTTCTGGGTAGGTTGCAGGTCTGTGACAGCTGGGAGGATAATGGCTTCCTGGTAGCTTCACACATTTGTTCTTCTCAAATCTTTGGCAGTTAATTTGTGTCTTCTCAACACGTTTCTTGTTAAGTGGTGGTCGGGTTTCAGCGTTCCTTCAGCCTCCCTCACCTTGGCCGTGTCCAGCTCTGAACACCTCGTACTTCTGGCCTCTCCAGGTAGGTTGCAGTTCTGGAATATGACAGCACTGGGAGATAATGGCTTCCTGGTAGCTTCACGATTCCTTCTTCTCAAATCTTTGGCAGTTCATTTGTGTCTTCTCAACATGTTTCTTCTCCAGTGGTGGTCGGGATTCAGCCTCCCTCACCTTGGCCGTGTCTCTGAGCCCTGAACACCTCATACTTCTGGCCTCTCCAGGTATGAAGCAGTTCTGGAATATGACAGCACTGGAGGATAATAGCTTCCTGGTAGCTTCATGATTCGTTCTTCTCAAATCTTTGGCAGTTCAATGTGTCTTCTTCTCAACACGTTTCTTCTCCAATGGTGGTCAGGTTTCAGCGTTCCTTCAGCCTCCCTTACCTTGGCCATGTCTCTGAGTGCTGAAAACCTCATACTTCTGGCCACTCCAAGTAGGTTGCAGTTCTGGAATGCAGTTAATTTGCGTCTTCTTCTCAGCACGTTTCTTCTCCAGTGGTGGTTGGGTTTCAGCCTCCCTTACCTTGGCCATGTCTCTGAGCTCTGAACACCTCCTATTTCTGGCCTCTCAAGGTAGGTTGCAGGTCTGGAATATGACAGCTGGGAGGATAATGGCTTCCTGGTAGCTTCACAATTTGTTCTTCTCAAATCTTTGGCAGTTAATTTGTGTCTTCTCAACACGTTTCTTGTTAAGTGGTGGTCGGGTTTCAGCGTTCCTTCAGCCTCCCTTACCTTGGCCGTGTCTCTGAACTCTGAACACCTCATACTTCTGGCCACTCCAGGTAGGTTGCAGGTCTGGAATATGACAGCTGGGAGGATAATGACTTCCTGGTAGCTTCACGTTTTGTTCTTCTCAAATCTTTGGCAGTTCATTTGTGTCTTCTCAACACGTTTCTTGTCCAGTGGTGGTCGGGATTCAGCCTCCCTTCAGCCTCCCTTACCTTGGCCGAGTCTCTGAGCCCTGAACACTTCGAACTTCTGGCCTCTCCATGTAGGTTGCCGTTCTGGAGAAGGACCGCACTGGAGGACAATAACTTCCTGGGAGCTTCACGATTCGTTCTTCTCAAATCTTTGGCAGTTCATTTGCGTCTTCCTCTCAACACGTTTCTTGCGCCCGTTGACTATTTGTAACAAAACTTTTGATGGTTCTCGTCCCAAAATCTTAGCAATTTCAAGTGTGCCGCATTCCTCTCAAAGACTTTTTACAATTTTTTTGACATTTCAGAGTCAGTTAAATCTCTTTTTTTCTCCATTTTGCCCGAGAAAAAGAAGTCGCCTAATAATTATGCACACCCTAATATTGAGTGTTGATCTATTTAGGCCACGCCCCCCTCATTACATAAATACACGTCACCTGATAGGCTTCCATCCAATAAGCATTCAAGTTTATTCAGCTTGTAGTTGGACAGAAAAATGAGGATCAGAATTGCCCCCCATTCCTGCGAACCGCTGCGGGTGTGAATGTTAACAACACCCCGAAATCAGTCCGCAGAACGCGGTGCGATTTGCAGAATCGGGTCACAGAGGTGTGAGTACCCGTGTGATCCGATTCTAGTGCGGACCAAAAAAAAAAGGGTCCTGCGTGTATCTGGTGCGATTAGAGCCATACAAAATGTACGACTCCGATGGCACCGCACACAACTCACATGTGATGCAGGAATATGGTGCAGTTCCTGTGTGAATCACATGCGATATACCGCACCACATGTATGTGAACCCGGGCTGAAGGTTCTTTTTTTTTTTTAAATGACAAACCTGTCTATACTTACTTGCTCTGTGTAATGGTTTTGCACAGAGCAGCCCGGCTCCTCCTCTTTTCGGGTCCCCCGCAGGCTCACCTGGCTCCTCCTCTTCTCGGGTCCCCCACAGGCTCTCCTGGCTCCTCCTCTTCTCGGGTCCCCCGCAGGCTCTCCTGGCTCCTCCTCTTTCAGGTCCCCCGCAGGCTCTCCTGGCTCCTCCTTTGTGTCCGGTGCACCCACAGCAAGCAGCTCACTATGGGGGCACCCGCTGCTTTGTGTGTCCATGCACACATGGAGCCACGGCTCGGTCTTGCCCCTTCTCTCTCCTCATTGGCTGACTGGGTGTGATTGAAAGCAGGCTCCTGCTTGCTGTCTCAGCCAATGAGGAGGCAGAAACCCGGGACAGCTGAGCCTGGATTGCAATGTGGCTCAGGAAAGTATTGAGGGGGAGGGGACATAGAATGCATGAAGGTAAAACCTCCAGCCTTTACAACCGCTTTAAAAACGCTCCCCAAACGCTCTATGTGCGGTTTTGATGCATATTTTACAAGCGTTGAAACCGCACCACAAAACGCCTATAAAATCTGTAATGTTATTAACGCACCGCCAACGCGACCGCACCGCCAACGGGACCGCACCGCCAAAGCGACCGCACCGCCAATGAGACTGCACCGCCAAGGAGGCCGCACTGCCAACGCGACCGCACCGCCAATGAGACTGCACCGCCAAGGAGGCCGCACCGCCAATGAGACCGCACCGCCAACGCGACCGCACCGCCAACGTGACCGCACCGCCAATGAGACCGCACCACCAACACGACCACACCGCCAATGAGACTGCACCGCCAACGCGACCATACCGCCAACGTGAGCGCACACCGCCAACGTGACTAAACCGCCAATGCGACCGCACCGCCAATGAGGCCGCACCGCCAACGCGACCGCACCGCCAACGTGACCGCACCGCCAATGAGACTGCACCGCCAACACGACCGCGCCAACCGCACCGCCAATGAGACCGCACCACCAACACGACCACACCGCCAACGTGACCGCACCGCCAATGAGACTGCACCACCAACGCGACCATACCGCCAACGTGAGCGCACCGCCAACGTGACTAAACCGCCAATAAGACCGCACCACCAACGCGACCCACACCGCCAACGTGACCGCACCGCCAATGAGACTGCACCACCAACGCGACCATACCGCCAACGTGAGCGCACCGCCAACGTGACTAAACCGCCAATAAGACCTGCACCACCAACGCGACCACACCGCCAACGTGACCGCACCGCCAATGAGACTGCACCGCCAACGTGAGCGCACCGCCAACGTGACTAAACCGCCAATGAGACCGCACCGCCAATGCGAACGCACCGCCAACGTGACCGCACCGCCAATGAGACTGCACCACCAACGCGACCATACCGCCAACGTGAGCGCACCGCCAACGTGACTAAACCGCCAATAAGACCGCACCACCAACGCGACCACACCGCCAACGTGACCGCACCGCCAATGAGACTGCACCACCAACGTGAGCGCACCGCCAACGTGACTAAACCGCCAATGAGACCGCACCGCCAATGCGAACGCACCGCCAACGTGACCGCACCGCAATGAGACTGCACTGCCAACGCGACCATACCGCCAACGTGCACCGACTGCAACCGCCACCGTGACCAAACTGCCAACGAGACTGCACCGCCAACCGCCTTGCCAGCGCGTCTGCAGAGCATCACCACAGACTTGAATGGAGGCGATGAAAGGCTTCGAATTCTTCCAGACTCGACTTCAGGCTTCCAATTTGAGGCGACGCGGCGCTAATACTGTTTTGATAATGCGAACAGCGCCGCCCAGAGTATTATTTGCCCCTAGTATTAAACGCCCCTCAAGCATCTGCTTTCAATGACAGTGTGAACTAGGCCTGCTAAGCAGGTCTGAATCAAGGAGCCTACAGTGAGCATATCTGGGAACACCCCTCCTGGATTACACACGTGTAAATAAAAGGGTTCCCAGATTGCGATGTAGACTGCGGCTCGGCCCGGATGAGGATCGGCTGAACCCTCCATTATGAGGCACACAGCGATCTGCATGGGGTGGGAACACACATTTGGATTTACCGAACCCCGACCTCCAGAATGAAACTGAGAAGCACAACGTATGAATCAGCAGGTATAGAGCCGGTACAGAGCAGGTATAAAGCTGGTACAGAGCCGGTATAGAGCAGGTATAGAGCAGGTACAGAGCCGGTATAGAGCAGGTACAGAGCCGGTATAGAGCAGGTGCAGAGCCGGTATAGAGCAGGTACAGAGCCGGTACAGAGCCGTAACAGAGCCGCTCCCTCACCTGCACACGGGCCCGCGGTCACAGCGTCAGGATTCTGAGGTTTGCTGCAGAGAAAAAACAGATAACAGATAAGAAATGTTCATTCATTTGTAAACGCTTCCCCACCACCCTATAGTAGAAGTGCAGCTCCAGGGGGGCGGCTCGGGGTGCAAAATCACGTATATAACTGACTGTGCATGTCGGGGTACGGGGGGGGGAGGGGAATATAGCCGACCCTCATGCTTCTCCCAGCATGATGCAATATGAGAAATAATCTGCAGGAATTATGGGGCTCCCTTATCCCAAGACCGCACCATCACTGTCACTCCAAGACCACACCGTCACCCCAAGACCGCATCACCATCCAAGACCGACCGCCCCGTCACCGTCATCCCAAGACCGCACCATCACCGTCATCCCAAGACCACACCGTCACCCCAAGACCGCATCGTCATCCCAAGACCGCCCCGTCCAAGACCGCATCGTCCGTCATCCCAAGACCGCACCATCACCATTATCCCAAGACCGCCCCGTCACCGTCATCCCAAGACCGCACCATCACCGTCATCCCAAGACCACACCGTCACCCCAAGACCGCATCGTTATCCCAAGACCGCATTGTCACTGTCATCCCAAGACCGCACCATCATCCCAAGACCGCACCATCCTCCCAAGACCCCCCGTCACCGTCATCCCAAGACCGCACCATCACCGTCATCCCAAGACCCACCGCACCATCACTGTCACTCCAAGACCGCATCGTCATCCCAAGACCGCCCCGTCACCGTCATCCCAAGACCGCGCCATCACTGTCACTCCAAGACCGCATCGTCATCCCAAGACCGCATCGTCACTGTCATCCCAAGACCGCACCATCCTCCCAAGACCTCCCCGTCACCGTCATCCCAAGACCGCACCATCACCGTCATCCCAAGACTGCACCGTCACCGTCATCCCAAGACCGCACCGTCACTCCAAGACCGCACCATCACTGTCACTCCAAGACCGCACCGTCACTGTCACTCCAAGACCGCACCGTCACTGTCACTCCAAGACCGCACCATCACTGTCACTCCCAAGACCGCACCGTCACTGTCACTCCAAGACCGCACCGTCACTGTCACTCCAAGACCGCACCGTCACTGTCACTCCAAGACCGCACCGTCACTGTCAGAAACGTCTCAAACAAGAACCAATCAAAGTGGTTCCCAACACTTAGTGCCCAGCCATACCGCTGCAATTCCAGGTGTGATTTGGGACCTGAAATCACATCTAATAGTCGCAGGTCACACTGTTGCGCTTTAGAATCGTGCAATCTCTGAAGATGTTATTGTGACTTGTGGAGATGTTCAGCGATTTCCTGCGATTTCCATTCTATTCTATGTCTGTGAAATCGCAGTAAGCTGCAGGAAAAGTTCCGGTCACATCGGTGCGATCTGCGAATTGAAATCACAGCTAATGAATGTGAATGTCGGCGCTGAACATTTGCCATTTGCAGAGAGATTTCTTCTTGTGTGACTTTCTGCAGTTTTGTTGCGATTTCACATCCATAGAATAGAATGCAAATCGCAAGAAATCGCAAGTAGCAATAGTCTGCAGAGATCGCGCTGAAATTGCACACAAATCGCAGCAGTGTGACTGATGACTTCATGTGGTCACTTTGACAGCCAATCACAGTGATCACATGGCTTTGTTTCCCTGGCATAGTGGGAGGGACTTGGGCAGCCAATGTGGGCTGATAGGGCAAAAGAATTGCCCCCCCCAGACTTGGCCAATCACAAAATGCAGCCTCCAGGCGTGTTATCTATGGACGGCCATGTGAAGGGGGGGGGCAGAGGGATGGCCCAGTGCTGGGCTCTCCGCAGTCAGCCTGTAACAATGATTCATCAGAAGCCGCTGAGCCCGGTCCTGGCACTGGGACCTCAATGAGCCGGTCTTGGCACTTGGACCTCAATGAGCCGGTCCTGGCACTGGGACCTCAATGAGCCGGTCCTGGCACTGGGACCTCAATGAGCCGGTTTTGGCACTGGGACCTCAATGAGCCCGGTCTTCACACTTGGACCTCAATGAGCCGGTCTTGGCACTTGGACCTCAATGAGCCGGTCTTGGCACTTGGACCTCAATGAGCCGGTCCTGGCACTGGGACCTCAATGAGCCGGTCCTGGCACTAGGACCTCAATGAGCCGGTTTTGGCACTTGGACCTCAATGAGCCCGGTCCTGGCACTGGGACCTCAATGAGCCGGTCCTGGCACTGGGACCTCAATGAGCCGGTTTTAGCACTGGGACCTCAATGAGCCCGGTCTTCACACTTGGACCTCAATAAGCCGGTCTTGGCACTTGGACCTCAATGAGCCGGTCTTCACACTTGGACCTCAATGAGCCGGTCTTGGCACTTGGACCTCAATGAGCCGGTCTTGGCACTTGGACCTCAATGAGCCGGTCTTGGCACTTGGACCTCAATGAGCCGGTCTTGGCACTTGGACCTCAATGAGCCCGGGTCATGACGGGGTTCATCGCAGCCAGACTAGGACCCCGCACCTCGTCATGTGGCCGCCCTGGTGAATGGGGGGACAGAGGGATGGCAGGCCCGGACCCCGCACCTCATCAAGTGGCCGCCCTGGTGAGGGGGGGGGGCAGAGGGATGGCAGGCCGGGACCCCGCACCTCGTCATGTGGCCGCCCTGGCGAAGGGGGGGGGGCAGAGGGAGGGCAGGCCGGGACCCCGCACCTCGTCATGTGGCCGCCCTGGCGAGGGGGGGGGGGGCAGAGGGATGGCAGGCCGGGACCCCGCACCTCGTCATGTGGCTGCCCTGGCGAAGGGGGGGGGGGGGCAGAGGGAGGGCAGGCCGGGACCCCGCACCTCGTCATGTGGCCGCCCTGCTGGGCGGTGGGGGAGACGTTCACTCTCTGGATGAAGGTCCTCAGCACGCTGCGGCACTTGTAGAACTGGGCGTGGCAGTCCTTGCACACAAACTGCGGCAGCCGGGGGTCCTGGCGGACCGACACCCCCACCAGCTGTTGGAAGTCGGAGAAGAAGACCTGATCCATCCGCTTCTGCTTCTCCGAGCTGCAGCCGCTGACCGGCACCTTCCCAAACGCCTGGCGCAGACTGCGGGACGAGAACCTTCCATGGCAAAGCCGGCAGTAACCAGCACTCAGCGTCTTCCCGATACCTGGGGGAGGAGACAGAGAGGGGAGGGGGAGGAGACAGAGGGGGGAGGGGAGGGGGAGGAGACAGGGGAGGGGACAGAGGGGGGAGGGAGAAGACAGAGGGGGTGGGGGGGTGGAGACAGAGGGGGAGGGGACAGGGGAAGGGGAGGAGACAGAGGGGGGATGTGACAGTGGAGGGGGGAGGGGAGGAGACAGGGGAGGGGGAGGAGAAGACAGAGGGGGGGAGGTGACAGGGGAGGGGAGGAGACAGAGGAGAGGAGGGGAGAGGAGGAGACAGGGGGGGAAGAGACAGAGGAGGGGGAGAAGACAGGGGAAGGGGAGGAGACAAGGGAGGGGGAGGGGACAGAGGGGAGGAGAGAAGACAGAGGGGGTGGTGGGGGGTGGAGACAGAGGGGGAGGGGACAGGGGAAGGGGAGGAGACAGAGGGGGGATGTGACAGTGGAGGGGGGAGGAGGAGACAGAGGGGGGTTACAGGTTACAGGGGAGGGGGAGACAGGGGAGGGGAGGAGAGAGAGGAGGGGGAGGAGACAGGGGGGAAGAGTCAGAGGAGGGGGAGAAGACAGGGGACGGGGAGGAGACAAGGGAATGGGAAGGGGAGGTGACAGGGGAGGGGAGGAGACAGAGGAGGGAGAGGAGACAGGGGAAGGGGGAGGGGGGGGAGAGAGGGGGAGGGAGACAGGGGAGGGGTGGTCACTAGCCAGCAGATGTATCAACAGACATAACTACCACCCACACCCATCACCCTACTACCACCCATCACTACCACACCCCACTTAACTCACCCTACCCAAACACCCATCACTACCAACACCCATCACCTACACCCGTCAAACCACACCCACTCACTACCAAACCACACCCGTCACTACCACACCGTCACTACCCCCCCCCCGTCCCTACCACACCCATCACCAAACCAATCCTACCCCTCACCCCCACCATCATACTACCCCAAACCATCACTCACAAAACCCCACAAAAAAACTACCCTACAAAACCGTCACCCCTACTGAAAACCCCACCCGTCACTACTACACCCGTCACCACTACACCCCCCGTCACTACCCCACCACACCACACCCATCACTACACAACTACCCCCCACTACCACACAATCACTATCACACCGATCTCCATTTGCTCCCAAGGTCCTGTGTGGTGGTCGGTCGCTGGACATTTCATGAATGAATGCAGTGCGCTCTCTGATTGGATGAGGTGGAGAGGAGGGCTGTGATGTCCCCACCCCCCCTCCCCCCTCCAGGGATCGCTCTGATGAATATTCACAAAATGCAACTCAATCCAAACAGCCCGACCCCTGTGTACAGTGAGGGGGGGGGAGGGGCAACTACTCAGTGAAACTCTAGCTAATAAGCCTGCAGAGGCCCACCACTGGAGTAATGGTGTAAGTAGTAGTAGTGTAGTAGCAGTCTGGGGTAGTCAGTGTGTAGTAGTGGTGTAGTACAAAAAACAGTGTCGTAAAGTGTGGTAGCAAAAAGTAGTAGTGTAGTAGTGGAGGGTACTAACAGAGGGGCCACACAGAACTGACAGACAGGCTGCACACCAAACCCACCATTCCCAGACCAGAACCGTCCCGTCACCCCCGGGGGTTACACTATGCGGGGGATGGGCGCAGGGAATCGCTCTGCTTTGGATGACATGTGATCTCCTGCGCTGCAATTTATATACCCATATTTGGCCCACAGTAAGCCCCCCCAAAATTTTGGGCCCCCCCCACTAAAAATTTGTATTAACCAAACAAAACAACCAAACAAAAATCCCCCCAACCCCAAAAACCCAAATTACCAATAAAAATTCTTATAAAAATCAACAAACCCCCTAGAAAAAAACCCCATACACTTTCCCAAAATAACAAAAAAAAAAAAAAAAGCGTAAAAAGCAATTAAAACCACCCCCTGCCAAAGCTTAATAAAAAACCCCCCCATTTGGCAAGTATCACGGCTTGTAAACGCCCAAATTATTAACCAACCTTTATGAACCAAACCACAACCTACCACTAAAACAAAAAAAACCCTAAACCCTCAAAAAAAGTTTTCTTTGAATTTCCTATCAATCCCCCCGCACGGGTTTGGGTTAGAAAGAACCCTATCCATAGTTTTTCACATTTTGAGGTCAACACACAACCCCACCCAAATGCAATATAATCCAAAAAACATAATCAGTTTACCCTCTAAATGTAATCCCCGGTAAACTATCCCCAGGTGTGTTTACCAAAGAAAACCCAGCCATCCCCAAACTAAATACACAAAAGAAAAAATTTAAAAAAAAAAAACCAAAACCCCGAAAAAACAAATCACACAAACACCTACAAAAAAAAAACCCTTCAAAGCTAAAAACCACCACAAAAGCAAACCCCCGAAATAATCAAAAACCCCATGCTTAAACAAACAAAAGCAGCCTGAGCTTCACCATTAATAAATCTGTGCCCCATCTTCCCAAACGTCAAAAACCAACAAGCTCATTTCCATAAAACCCAAAAAGTTCAACAACCTCATTTTCCACAGAACTTGTTTCCAAAAACAAACCAAAATGGCAACACATAAATACACATTAAAATAAACAAAAAAAAAATTTTTTTAAAAAACAGTACCAAAACAAAAAACAAAAAAATTAAATGAAATCCCTCCATAAAATAATAACAACCACCAGCAATAACTAAAAGTGGAATATCTGGAAAAAAAAAAAACCACCCCAATCCATCGTGCTTTAACTCAAAAAAACCCAATATTGTTTTTTCATCACAATCCACTGTTGATATTATCTTCCAACCACCAGACCAAACTTTAAAAACCACTGCCCCTGATATAAAATAACCAAGCAAAAAAACATTAAAAAAAAAAAACAAACCCTAAAAGCTTCACCATAAAAAATCCACCCCTTTCCAGCTTTGTCCAGCTATATAACACCAAAAATATCATTCCCAAAAAATAAAAAAAAATTATCTAAAAAACAAATCAGACAAGTCCAAAATTTAAAAAAAAATTGAAAATACCACAAAAAACATCCCAGACGATAACCAAAAAAAATCCATGACAACCTTGACAAAAACCACCCTTCAAGTGCACTATAAATTCCCCAAAGCAATGCACAACCAAACTTCTAAATTTGCACTTACAAAAAAATATTTGTTTAACAATATTTGAAAAAAACAAAAACGGATGATAACACCAAAACATAAATTCAAAAAAAAACAACCGTCCACAAATACACCTAAAAACTAATTTAAAAATGCCTCACCCAACCCATTACCCCCCCCACCCTTCATCTTCAGAATAATCCAATCAAACATTTTAAACCGCTCAAAACCCACAAAACTTACAAAATCAAAAATAAAATATACAGGGGGAGGAAGAAATATATATATAAAAAAAATAATAAATAAAAATACAGGGGGGAGGAAAAAATATATAAAAAACCAGGGGGGAAAAGAAGAAATAATAAAAAAAAAAAGGAGATCAAATCCCCTACAAGGAGATAAATAAAAAAAAAAAACAAAAAAAAAAAAAAAACAAAAAACAAAAAAATTAAAAAAAAAAAAAAAAAAAAAAAAAAAAAAAAAACAAAAAAAAAAAAGAAAAATAAATAAATAACAGGGGGGAGGAAATAAAAATATACCGTGAACCAACCAACGATAATATATATAGGTCCAAAAAAAACAAAAAACCCATGCAACAAAAACACAATTTAATAGAACCCAAAATCCTTGACAAGCAAAATGCATATGTAAAACTTGGACCACCCCCTTTATGCAGCAATTTACATGCCCCAAGCCGTGGCATGGAAGCTACTCCCTGTGGGCCCTGAGGTGTTATAACAAATCACCAGATTCTCATTTTTCCAGTTTCACCTGTAAATCCCCAGCAAAGAGGACACAAATAAATTCACTCACCATGTCATGTGAAAGACCAACGCGTAAAATATAAAAAACATGTCATGTGATGCCATGCCATGAATGTCAATTCATGTAATGTTCAGTCAGGTCATGTGATGTCACCCATGCGATTTTTGATGTCATGTGATGCGATGCCCCAAAATCATGTGATCCGATCATGTGATGTCATGTGATGCGGTCATGTGATGTGAAATGCCATGTGATGCGGTCATGTGGGATGTGATGTCATGTGATGCAGATGTCATTCGCCCCCGGATTTGCCCAGTATATCTCAATGTTGCGTTTTTGTTTGGCGTTTGTCATTCGTTTATCATTGACCACGCATTCAAAAGTGATGCGATTGCGGTGCGGGAAACGTACAGAATTCGCAGCATTTCCCCACACCTCACCGCTGTGATCCCACCCCCCAGTGAGGCCAAAGGAAGGTGACGGCCGGGACAAGATCCTCCAATCAGCATGCTCGGGGGGGGTAAGACTTTTTCGCCATGACTGCACATCGCAGCTTAGCGATCATTAGATGAGGCCGCGTTCCTTTCTTTTCTTCCACCTGGAGATCCGGCCGGTAACCCACCACCTTCTGTATTAGAGCGCCCCCACTCTGGAGGAAGGAGAACAGGGGCACAGCAGCATTGTCAGTCTGGGGGGGGAGGGACATGTATTAGCAGATTTAGATACACTAACACAGGAAGGAAGACTCCGCTGACACCCCGGAATCAGTCGCGGGGCGGCGTTGTCACGATGTAGGTTTTTTATGAACAAATCACCTGCAGCTGGTGATGGGGGGAGGGGCATACACCCTCCATTTGCAGACATTGCCCCCCCCCCCTTCCC